TTTTACTACCAATCTTTGCTATATAAATGGACTATAGTCAGGGGCGGATCCAGGCCGTTCGAACTGTGGGGTCAAATTTTTTTTTTTCGAACAACGTATCATGAATAAAAAGGAAAAATCGGTTTTTTGCTGTTCATGTTCGTTATTTGTACTTTGAGAAAAAATAGGTGGATTATATGATATATTTATGGACTAAATAATGGATATGGATATAGATTTAGGATTTGGACCTTTTGGGGGTAGAAAATTAAGTTTTCGGCAGGCAGAAAATTAAGTTTTCAGCAAAAAAAAAAAAAAAAAAAAATATCTAGGAAAGGGATTCGAACCCTAAACGTCAAATATAAATATGTGACTGTTGACCATTTGCGCTACAAGGAAGTTTGAGATAAATATGACTTACCAATAATATAAGGTAAAACTAAAAAAAAAAAAAAAAAAAAAAAAAATTACAGAAAACTGTGGGGTCATTTGACCCCACATGACCCCATGTGGGTCCGCCCCTGACTATAGTTGATGTCAACGTGTAATACCAATATGCAGAATTTTTCTAATCCAGTTTTCTGTGCATGTTCAGCCTTTCGATCCTTTGCAATTTTAGTATTGCCAACCAGGCAATTTATCTTCACAGGTTTCTGAATTCCAGAAGACCACCTAATTTTCCTCTTTCGGATTCTTGGCACATTTGCAGGAGAAAGGAGAATTTTCCCCTGTTTATTTTGCACCTCAAGATGGGTTGATGCAAGCCAACAAGATTGACAAGTTGCCAGGACAACCTGAGAACGTGGATTTTGATCAGTATGCGGGGTATATTACCGTTGACACACAGGCTGGAAGAGCATTGTTTTATTATTTTGTTGAGTCACCGGCAAATTCTTCAGCCAACCCTCTAGTTTTGTGGTTAAATGGAGGTACAAAATCGACAAAGAGAAATATTCATTAGATTCATTTCATCAAAAGAGTTTAACCATCTGATAAATGTTCATTAGATTCACAACTTTCTGTCATATATCCAGAATTTGAAATCAAGGCGTCTACCTTATGAGAGACTTAAATTGAATACTAATACCAATTGAGCAAGTGTTGGATTCAAATCCTGGGAGATGCAATAGAAATCTACCAGGGGTAAGATGGGCAGAGGCTCAGGTCATTACATCTATTTGTCTATGCACAGCTGTCAAGCATTTGTACCAAACATGTCCTAATTGTACAAGTACATCGATCTTCTAATGTCTTGATTTCTTGCAATAGAACATCAAAAGCTTGTACCTTTGCTTTAATATTCATATTCTCAGCAAATAACAGAAAAGCAGGAGCTGAATGTTAATTATATTTCTGATGACCAGGTCCAGGCTGTTCATCCTTTGGATATGGAGCCATGGAGGAATTAGGCCCCTTTAGAGTCAATAGTGACGGAAAAACTCTTTGGAAATAATTATGCATGGAACAATGGTCAGATCAAGTTATAATTTATAACAAAATCAAAGTTTCATGTTCTTGTTTTACAATGAGTTTGCTTATGGCTTCCATTGAATTTTCTCCAGTGGCAAATGTGATTTTCTTGGAATCCCCTGCTGTGGTTGCTTTCTCTTATTCAAACACTTCGTCTGATTATGGCGCACTGGTGATAGAAGCATTGCCAATGATACCTATACTTTTCTTGTCAACTGGCTCGAGAGGTTTCCACAATACAAAACCCCGGATTTCTATATTGCTGGAGAGTTATGCTGTTAATTACATACCACAACTAGCATACACTATATTGCTCAACAACAAGAACACAAATCAAACTGTCATTAATCTAAAAGGGATTTCTGTAGGATCAACCACTACCAGTTTTCCTTTATATTTAAAGTTCTGTTTCTCTTTTTAAAAGATTTTATAATCTGAAATATTTCAGATAGGAAATGCAGTTTTGATAACTCGGCAATGGCAACATGATTCTTCGATCATTTTTGGACACAAGCCTTAAACGAGACTTGTTGAAAATATGTTGTTCAAAATCAATAAACATGTGTGTGGAATGGAATGAACAAAATTGGAACATAAAACTAAAACCGGAGGCCCAAGATGAATGCCATGTGACCGCATAGCAATATGGCCATGCAGTCGCATGGCCACAACCTGAAACTGGAGAGGCCAGTATGAAGAACTCCATACGACCGCATGGAGTTATACCATGCGGTCGCATGGTACAACGAATTAGCCGTTAGGCAGCTTTTTCGGCGGTTTTCGGTTGGTTTGTTGGCGGCTTTTCACTTCTTTTTGGCACCACTTCGTGAAGCTATGTTCCATAGCTATAAATTGGTGGTTTGTGTTCATTAGAATAACAAGAAAAACACTTGAAAACATCGTGATCAATATATTCATTCCACAAAGAAGAAATCAAAGTTTTCTTCATCCATATTCATATTCCATTTGTGTTCTTCAAGTTTTGGAGAATTTATACAAATGCTTAAGTATTAATTCTCTACAATGCTTGATTACTCCTACAAATCATTTGCCGCAAAACCCTTTAAACACCAAAATTATATACGAGAGGGGGCAAATATCGTTTGAGGACAGCGATATAATATCGTGTTTGAGCCTTCATATTTAATTAAGTTTTTTTCATTATTTTAATCTTCTTGAATTTCCATTTCTCGGTTTCTTCTCCAAACCCCGGTGTGATAATTTCCCAACAAGACTCATAAGGCATCTCTACATTTTGTGATTTTGTGAATGGCACTGCATCCCTCAAATGCTCTAGAATTGTAGAGGAAGCCTTCTCGAGCTGGAAATATTGATTTATACAACATCTATGCACCAATTGCCTGAAACCCGTGCTTAAAAATGGCTCCAGCAGTTCGGTAAGCCCTTCATTTTGTTAACAATTCTTGCTTTGTAGGAACATTAATTAACTTTGATTGATTTTATCAGGTTAACTATTTTGATCCATGCTTGGATTCATACGTTGAACATTACTTGAACACAGCAGAGGTTCAAAGGGTTCTCCATGTAAATCCTCCAACTTGGACAGGTTGCAGGTAAAGTTATAAGCTGGATAAATGTCTTGAAAGCACAAATTTTTTTTTTTGGTCACAACTTGAACAGTATAGTGACACTAGTCATTTCTCTTTTTAATATGTGCAGAGATTATAACTGGATAGATATGCCGACAACTATTTTGCCAATTATCGAGAATCTCATGCTAGAGGCACGAGGATCTGGCTATACAGGCAAGTCTGTCTCTGGCAGTAAATCCTCAAGTAATCAGAACATGACTGCAGGGAGTTGAATAGGAAATTTTGAGTTGCCTAATAACAAACGCTTTAGTGAACGAGATTGGACAGTTTAATCTTATTGATTTAGCTTTTATTTTTTATTTTTTGTGCAGTGGTGACATAGATGCCAACAACAACCAGATATGTGATAAACAGGTTAAAGCTTCCGATTGAGAATGCTTGGCGGCAATTAAGTTGAAGAATCCTTGAGCTGATTTGTTTATATTTATAGATTAATTTGAATGGCAGGTAGAAGGGTATGTGGTGGAGTACAAAGGATTAACATTTGTAACAGTGAGAGGAGCCAAACATCTTGTACCGAGTTACCAACCTCAATGGGGACTTACTATGATTTCATCCTTTCTTCAAGGGGTTCTTCCTTCTTCTGCCTAATGATCTGAACCAAAAAATTCTCCAAGGATTTGAGTTTTCATTTTTATTTCTTTCACAAGCCAAATGGGCAGGTTTAAAGTCAGAAGGTTGAGAGTTGGATTTGAATGCAGCCAATTCTACAACTACAGAGCAGGGCCTGCCTATTTTAGCTTTGACACAGGCTAAAGAGAAATTTCAAATCTATTGTGCATTTTTCTTCTCCATCTTTGAACTTGAAAATCAGTTCAGTTACATACAGTCAGCTTCATGAATAACTCTGGATGGACTTATATTTTCAATCTATGGATTTTGAATGCAAAGGTGTCAAATTGAGAAGCTGCAAGTCTACTGCACAAACACCTTATTGTTTGAAGCAATAGTCTTCGCTATTAATTTTTAAGATTTTAAACACGTTCAAATTCATTTAAAACGATTGCTTTAATAATGACTTAATGATTGAGGACTAGAATTTTTTTCAGTAGTTAAATTTGCACCCACCCACTCTTTATTAATTAGCATATCTCGACTTGATGACGATAAAAAATCCATTAAGAGAACAAAAAGACTTATTTGCCCTCATATTTTTAATTAAATAAGTAACAAATAATATTTCACCTTCTGACAAATTATTTGGACAAAAACTATCATTACAGACACTATATGTTAATTAATTGAAGGTTACATAAAAAATATGAGGAAAAAAGGTTCTCACATAAATGTGAAAAAAAAAAAGGAAAAATCAAGAAACAAGTAAGTTCCAACCGTGATTTGTTGTGCATATATTATAATTGGACAGGCACAGCGTGAACTGTTTTGCCAATTATCGAGAATCTCATGGCTAGTAGCACGATGGTCTAGCTATAGAGTGTATGCGTTGAATTACATTATCTAAAAGTTTAAGTAGGCGACAACGGCATTTGGACACGAGAACTTTGTGAAATGTGAAACGATTAAAACATCTCATCTAAAAAGCTAAATGTGTTGGAAATGGATATAAAAAATTTCAAGTCATCTACAACCGAGATAAGTTTTATCATATTCCCATTTTCTTGTACTTGCATCTGTGTTGATATAGATGCAAATGAGACGCAATAAATAACCTAAACAAGCACTAAAATGTAAGATTTAGGTTTAAATGGCTTGACAATCACCCTTACAAAAAAGTTGTGTGACAAAATTGACGGAAAACATCATTGGGGACCAACTTTGCCTATTTATTGGAGGTTGGTAACAAGAATGCGATGGAAAAATAGTTGAGGACAAGCTCAAAATTATTGGAAAAGGTTACAGATCAATTGTGCAATTTACCCAATAATTTTTGGAATTGAAAAAGTTGACTATATACGGATAAAATGACGCCCTGTTCATTCTCGTTGAACTTCGATTCCTATCTACCAAAAATGTCAAATCCATCGGAAAAAACCCCAAACCCAGTAATCTCGTCGACGAGCTCTCGTTCCGTGCCAGAGACGGTAAATGGGTCGCAACGTCTCGTAGTCCAGGGGTACTCTCTTGCGAAAGGCATAGGCATCGGAAATTACATAGCTAGCGATAGTTTCACTGTGGGAGGTTCCCAGTGGGCGATTTACTTTTACCGCGACGGTAAAAATCCTGATGATAACGCCACTTATGTTTCGGCTTTTATTGTGTTGATGAGCGAGGGAACGGACATCAAGGCCCCGTTCGAGTTGAGCTTGGTTGATCAGAGCGGGAAAGGGAAGCACAAGGTGCACAGCCATTTTGATGGGTCGCTTGAAAGCGGGCCTTATTCTCTTAAATGCCGCGGCAGCATGTGGTAAGATTTTTGAATAATGCTATGAAATCAGTGTAGGTGGTCACATTTAACTGAATCAATCATTTAATGACACATAGTTGTTGCCGAACGGGTACTTAACACCTTGGATAGCATTAATATTAACCTTTTCTAGCTCTGTTTTATGATTTTTGATTTTTGAGCGGTTTAATATTTGTCTAGGTTTTAGGTGTTTGTGATTAGAGTATAATATTTTCGTGGTTACACGTAATTGTTGGATTCAAATTCAAACTCTATCATAGTATTTTTGTTGAAAAACTAAAATCTACAAGTACTAATTATCTTCCCGATATTTAACAGAAATTGTATAAATAAAATAGGACCGTACTCCTGGTACTTAATCACTAACCGTTTGCCTATTATTCACATCATTTGAATGGAACTTGGTTCGAATTATTAAATTACACATGAGGTCTGCATGGTTGTGAGGGGGTGTAAACAGTTCGGTACACTCCCCTCGGTACAAACATTTTTATCCAATAAAATATGACACGGAATACTAATTTACTCTTGTTTAATCTACTGCAAATATGTTGTCGACTAGTATCTGTTTCGCGCGGGTTCGTCGCTAACAATTAAAAGGGATCAGACGATTGTGTAAAGGACAAACCTCTTGAAACAAAGTCCCAAAAAGGGGTGTTCTTTTATTGACGATAACTTTACAATTGGAAATTAAAAACAAAATACCCCCAAGGAGCGTACGCACACGAGTTACTGAAAAAAGTGTTTAAATCTAAACTAAGAAATTTAAAATTACATGTTTTCTGTTCGAGAGTTTTTGATTCGGTCTTTTGCTCTATGTCTTTTTTCTCTTTTATACTCCATGGATGATCTCTTTGTGATCAATCGCCTAAAAACTGCTTGATCGTTCTACAACTGTCACTTTCCTCGTAATGGCCAATTTGTCATGAAACTGCCTTTTTTAACTGCTGTCATTACTCTTCGTCGTTCAACCATTTTCGATTGAATTCCTTGAATCGTGGAACGTGATAGGGTTGCTTTAATAACTGCACTTCTTGATAACCACAATACTTTATGTTTGCTAAAATCTTGGGCGACTTGAAGGTTTGGGCGAGAATAGAGTAACAGCTCTGGGCGACTGCATGGCACTCCATTCGCTCAGATTCTGGGCGACTTGCAAACTTGGACGATGGCGTTACCGCGTTCTTGGGCCTCCCTATTTGGGCCTTCATCTTGAATTTTTTGATTGGGCTTCGTTCTTTGGGCTATCTGATTTGGGGACCCTCCAATTGGGCTTCATTCCTTCAGCCGTTCGATTTGGGCTGAATTTTTATGTGTCAACAGTATCCAATACTAGTAAAATAGCATACCATTCTGACTGTGGTTCCGAGTGCGGCGACTCAAAAAATGTTTGTAAATTGTAAGTGTGGGTATGAATGAAAGTGGTATAATTCATTTATTCAGGTGAACAAATGTCATTGATAATGATATTAGTTAGACCTTGCTAACTTGTTATTTTCTGGGCCTGGCGAAATTGAATGAATAGTTAATAAATAAATAAATCCTTTTAAAAAAGATAGATTCGATTTCAGAGTCCAGTACCGATGGTTTCTATTCAAGAATCAAGAACCGACCCAGAAATATTAAAACCGGACTGGACCAACTAGAAATGGCGAACCAGCCAATGGACTGCTGCAATATACTTATCCTATGTTTTGGAAGATGAAAATTATAAGTTTTTTGAGTTAGTATATAGCTTGTAGGATATTGTGTGAATAGGGTTAAGTTATAAGTTTGTACTTTTAGTTTTTATCGTGTCATATGCAAGAAATTTTGTTTTTACTCAAATGTAAGACGCGTTTCTTCTATTCATATACCAAAGACTTTAGCGTCAATTTTTTCTTCCTTTCCTACTAAACTAATGTTTCCAATTTATGTTACAGGGGATTCAAGCGCTTTTACAATCGAGCTATGCTTGAAACTTCAGATTTTATGAAAGATGATTGCTTGGAGATCAATTGTACTGTTGGAGTTGTAGTTTCTGCTATCTAATGACACTTTTATTAGCGTGTGTTGACATTAAGTGCCACGGATTACTTGTATAATGGATTGCTCGATTATGAAATTCACTAAAATGTAAAATTTAAGGGGTGTCAAATGACATTACATAGGACTTTATCCGTGAAATCTCAAGTTAAAGCGTTGGCATATTTTGTTGACACCTAAAATTTGTGGATCGTAAGTGAATGAATTGTCATTTATGTGTAATGTACACCCTTCCTTTAACATGACATGTTGTGGTTGCTGAATCACAAACCCAATAAAGGAAACAAATTCGTGTAATCAACTTAAATTTATGAATAAAGATAAGTTCTTTGTTGCTATGTATGCTCTTCCTTTTGATTTTTAGAGTTACGAGTATCCACAACAATGGCAAAATGTGATCAAATATATACATGTCAAACATATATTTATGAAGGACAGTTGTCCAGGCACTATGAGTTGGAAAATGGGCAAATATCCAATGAAAAGTTGTATTTGATCTCTTGGACGAAAAGGTCAATGGTGACGAAGAGACAGAGTGGGCGAGTCTCTTTGAGATTGAGGTACTTTTGAAAATGTCATTTTTTTGACTTTGACCAAAAAAATTTGTCAATCTTCAAAATGGCCATCTGTTAAGTAAAAGACAAAAATATCTTCAAGTAGTTTATACAATTACAAAGATAGAATTTTGTTTTAAAAGACAAAAATACCCTTAAACTACAAATTAAAAAACCAAACACTTTTCACTTTATATTTAATTATTTATTTCAAACACTTACTCAAATAAAAAAATTAATATTTAATTTACTTTCTTGTTTAAATATTTCATTAATTAATTATCTTAATCGATTATTTATATTATTTATTTAATATTTAATTAATCACTTGTTTAAATAAAAAAATTAATGTTTAATTTGATTTGGTTTCTCATTTCAATATTTCATTAACTAATTATCTTAATTGATATATGTATATTTAATTAATTATTTAATCATATATTTTAAACACTTACTCAAATAAAAAAAAATTATATCTAATTTGGTTTCTCTTTTAAATATTTCATTAATTAATTATTTTAATTGGTCCTTATTTAATTATTTATTTTAAACACTTACTCAAATAAAAAATTAATATTTAATTTGGTTTCTCATTTAAATATTTCTTTATTAAGTACCTTAATTGGTTATGTATACTGTTCATTTAATATTTAATTACTTTATTTAATTATTTATTTAATCACTTATTTAAATAAAAAATTAATATTTATTTTAATTTCTTATTTAAATATTTTTAATTAATTGTCTTAATTAGCTATGTATATTATTTATTTGTTGTTTAATTATTTATTTAATCACTTAATTAAATAAAAATTAATATTTAATTTAATTTCTTATTTAGATATTTCATTAATTAATTGTCTTAATTGGTTATGTATATTATGCATTTAAAATTTAATTACTTTATTTAATTATTTATTTAATCACTTATTTAAATAAAAGAATTAATATTTATTTTAATTCTTATTTAAATATTTCATTAATTAATTATCTTAATTAATTATGTATATTATTTATTTAATATTTAATTACTTTGTTTAGTTATTTATTTAATCACTTAAATAAATAAAAACTAATATTTAATTTATTTTTTTAATTAGATATTTCAGTAATTAATTATCTTAATTGGTTGTGTCTATTATTAATAATTAATATTTAATTACTTTATTTTAGTTACTTATTTAAATAAAAACATTATACTATAATGTACAAGTGATATAATATTATTGAAGATTTGAAAAACAGTTTTTTCGATCTTCCACTCATGGAATTCCACATGTACATTATGGACATCCTTATGAATTAGTACATGTAGAATTATCCAATATTTAATTTGATTTCTCGTTTGAATATTTTTTTTATTAATTACCTTAATTGGTTATGTATATTTAATTAATTTATTTAATTATTTATTTTAAACACTTATTCAAATAAAAAATTAATTTTAATTTAATTTCTTCTTTAAATAAGTCATTAATTAATTATTTTAATTTGTTATGTATATTGTTTCTTTAATATTTCATTACTTTATTTAATCACTTATTCAAATAGAAAATTAATATTTTATTTAATTTATTTTTTAAATATCTTATTAATTAATTATCTTGATTGGTTATGTATATTATTTATTTAATATTTAATTAGAATATAAATCATACGGTGTATGAGAATATCTAACAGAGATGGGAGTTGAACTTTAAGCATTGTCACATTTTCAATACATCGAACATTATTCGAGAATGTCGAAACTATATTTCCTCAACCAAATGAAATCAAGTAAGAAATTCCCAATTATAGTATGTTAGTCTCTATCCAATAGATGTTGAAAATTTATTTAAATCATATGTACTCTCTATTTATAGTGTGTTACTGATTTCCTCAAATTTCTTTACTTAAAAGTGTGTTATGTATGTAATTAAGAGTAATTAGCTATTTATTATACAATTACATAAAAACTAAAGTATTACAAACGTTTTGAAAAAAAATGCATACATTTGAAATTATTACAATTACGAATCACAATGTACATAAAAGACCGCTTGAATTTTAATGTATGTTTAGTTTATCGATTCTACGCAACGTTCAATGCTAAAAATTCAATGTACTTTAATTATGGCTGTTAATGGATTGGATTTTGATCCAAATCCGATGAAATTAATGGAAGATAGATTTAGGGCTTCAATCCGATAACCCAATCGAGATTCAAATTCGATAATTCGTTAACTAAATGAATCAATGATTGGATTTTGATCCAAATTCGATCTGAATCCGATGAAATTAATGGGAAATGGATTTAGGGTCTTAATCCGATAATCCAATCGAGATTTAAATCCGATAATCCGTTAACTATATGAATCAAATATGGATATAAGTCATTCCGATATGATAAATAAATAAAATATTTATTTTTCTAATTTTTTCAATTTCGGATCGGATATCCGATAACATTGTTAATCGGATATGGATTTAACATTCAAATATCCATCAAATTATTGGATCGGATCAAATAGGATAATTATTATTAACGGATCGGATCAAATTTTAGCAGATCCGATTAATATATCCGATCCATTTACAGCCCTAACTTCAATGCGAAGATTTCACAATTGCCTGGGTCGATTTCACGGAAGAGGTTGGACAATGTACCGTCAACAGATGTTATCTTCTTTGCCTCAATCGTGTATGGAGAAACAATGTGTTGTGACAACAATTTGGTCTTCTTGCTAACCATTTGCTCTGGCACGTCAATAATATATTTCGTACAGGGTGTCATCCAAACTCGCGACATTATCTGTCAAGTTGGGGGTCCTTTCTGGCATAGTTATGTATATTATTTATTTAATATTTAATTACGTTGTTTAATTATTTATTTAATCACTTAATTAAATAAAAAAATAATATTTAATTTAATTTTTATTTAGATATTTTATTTATAAATTATCTTAATTGGTTGTGTGTAGTAAGTATTTAATATTTTATTACCTTATTTAAATAAATTTTACAACATATACAATTATTTCATAAATTAAAAAAAATACAATTATTACAATTATTTCGTTCCCACCACCGGCAGACCTCCTATCTCCACTGACATCCATAATGATTCTAATGAAATATCTGTGTACATCTCCACCCCTCCACCGTCACCCTTCCTGTCAACATCTCCGCTACTCGTTGTCACTATTTGGGACTCCTATCACCTACACACCGTATCTCTTTGGATATGACTCTGACCCTTCTCCTCGATCAACGGTGTTAGCTCAGTGAGCAATTCAAGCTAACATATTAACATTTCACCGAGTTAATGACCATGCACTGAGATTTCGAAATGACTTACAACATAAATCATAAATGAATAATATGTATCTCAGGATCGTCGACGAGAGTTGATAACTGTAAGCTTTGTCCCCATGGATAGTTGTTAAATATGTCAATGTCTTCAACAACCTCCAAATGAAATACGTCGATCGACGTCTTCTTGTGATGATACCTCAGTATGCTCTTTAGTATAAACACCATCCCCAACTTCAACTTGTCAAACATATCGTCGCATTCCTTGAATGCATCTTCTAATTGTGCCAGAGTTACCGTCATAAGCAGGATCGGTGTAACGGGTCTGCGTACTCGTAACAATTAGTTATTTTACTTAAATAAACAAATTACATATTTTATGAAATATTTATAAACAATTAAATTCAATATTAAAAAAAGAAAAAAATGGGTTGGCACGTTGGGCCAATCCATACCGTTGAATCCAATACTACTATGAAACTAGCAAAGCTACAGTTCGACGTAACTTTGTCTGAAATCTGTTTCAAAGCGTCGTCCAAATGGTAGTCTATCCTGCAAAATTTCTAATATTAGAACGTTTGAAACATAATCTCATAAAATTCAACTAATCGAACTGTAAGTAATATACGCACGAAATAACAGATAATAAAAAAATGAATTATAAAATTAGACAACAAATTATAAAAATCGAAAAACTAATTTTTGTAAAATTATTTATTTCATAGATTATTTTAATTCTTTATTATTTATTTCAATTAATTATTTAATTAATTTTGATTATTTATATTTAATTACTTATTTAAATAAATTAAATAAATTATTTTGAATATTTATTTTAAATAAAATTTAATTACATATTTTGATTAGTAACATTTATTCATTATTTATATTTTTTATTTATCATTTGAATAATCATTTAATTATTATTTAATTGTTCATTATTTATTTTTGTGCATTTCAATTAATTATTTATTCCAATTGTTTTTCTTTTATTTGTTCAATTGTTCATTTAAATTATTTGATTTAATTATTTATATTGATTGATTATTTAAATTATTTATTGAACAAGTAAACGTAAATATTTAATTTTTATTTTAAATGTTAGAAATTTATTTCAATTAAATTTTAATTACATATTTTGATTATTAACATTTATTCATTATTTACACTTTCATTTATCATTTAAATAATCATTTAATTATTATTTAAATGTTCATTATTTATTTTTGTGCATTTAAATTAATTATTTGTTCCAATTGTTTTTCATTTATTTGATTCAATTGTTCATTTAAATTATTTGATTTAATTATTTATATTGATTGATTATTTAAATTATTTATTGAACAAGTAAAAGTAAATATTTAATTTTTATTTTAAATGTTAAAAATTTATTTTAATGAAATTTTAATTACGTATTTTGATTATTAACATTTATTCATTATTTATATTTTTCATTTATCTTTTAAATAATCATTTAATTATTATTTAAATGTTCATTGTTTCGTTTTGTGCATTTTAATTAATTATATATTCCAATTATTTTTCATTTATTTGTTTCAATTGTTCATTTAAATTATTTGATTTAATTATTTAGATTGATTGATTATTTAAATTATTTATTGAACAGGTAAACGTAAATATTTAATTAATTATTTTAAGTGTTAGAAATTTATTTCAATTAAATTTTAATTACATATTTTGATTATTAACATTTATTCATTAATTATATTTTTTATTTATCATTTAAATAATCATTTAATTGTTATTTAAATGTTCATTATTTATTTTTGTGCATTTAAATTAATTATTTATTTCAATTATTTTTCATTTATTTGTTTCAATTGTTCGTTTAAATTATTTGTTTTAATTATTTATATTGATTGATTATTTAAATTATTTATTGAACAGTTAAACGTAAATATTTAATTATTTATTTTAAATGTTAGAAATTCATTTCAATTAAATTTCAATTACATATTTTGATTATTAACATTTATTCATTATTTACATTTTTCATTTTTCATTTAAATAATCATTTAATTATTATTTATTTTTGTGCATTTAAATTATTTATTTATTCCAATTATTTTTCATTTATTTGTTTCAATTGTTCATTTAAATTATTTAATTTAATTATTTCTATTGATTGATTATTTAAATTATTTATTGAACAGGTAAACGTAAATATTTAATTATTTATTTTAAATGTTAGAAATTTATTTCAATTAAATTTTAATTACATATTTTGATTATTAATATTTATTCATTATTTACATTTTTCATTTATCATTTAAATAATCATTTAATTATTATTTAAATATTCATTATTTATTTTTATGCATTTAAATTAATTATTTATTCCAATTATTTTTCATTTATTTGTTTCAATTGTTCATTTCAATTATTTGATGTAATTATTTATATTGATTGATTATTTAAATTATTTATTTAACAAGTAAACGTAAATATTTGATTACATATTTTAATTATTAATATTTATTCATTATTAATAATTTTTATTTATCATTTAAATAACCATTTATTTATTATTTAAATGTTCGTTTTTTTTGTGTATTTAAATTATTTATGGAATACAACGAAAAAAATTGAGGGAAGCCGTCCAAAAAAGACGGCCCAGAAGCTTTGCAGACGGCCCAGCCGTCTGGCCGTCCTCTCGTCCCTTTGTTCTCCGGTCCAAGTGTCGGAGATCTCCATTTCGACTTAAAAACACCTTAAAAAATGTCATTTCCAATAATTTTACATAATCTACAAAGATTTCTACAATTATTTCCAACAAGATTTCTTCCCCTTCTTTTTCAGACTTCGATTTGAGTGTGATTTATTGCGGGCAATATTGAGTTTTCATTGTTTTTAAAGTTTTTACAAATTTTTCATTTTTTTAAACAATAGTCAATGGCCATTTTGACAAAATGTCTTTTTTTGTGGCTATCTGCTAACATTTCCTTCTTTGAGATCTCAAAGAGACTCGCCTCACATGATCACAGTGCATGCATAGCAATTTTCATGTTTTTAGATGTGAAATAACTTTTAAAATACTTTACATCGTGTTTATATTTGAACAAAAAAGAATAGTTTCAAATTGCAACAACACTTGGATGTGCAAGCGTTTGATTATCAATATTTTTATGAAAAATGAATTTTGTCCACTCAAATTTCTACATTTGTGCTGTTTGACTAACTTTTTTCTATGGAAAATGATTTTTTTACTTTTTGTCACGTAATCATATTTTTCCCAAAATCAAGAAAAATATTTTCTCTAAGGAAATTGAGATTTTATTTTTCAGGAAATTCACTCGATCTTTCTATCTCTCATTTATCCACTTCTCATTTGGATGACTTTTGTTATGCAACTATAACAAAGTAATCGACGTGACAGATAGATTGTACAGTTGGCACCCAATCACTAAGTTGATGTCCAGTCACGGAGAAATATATTTTTGATTACTCATTATACTTTAAGGTGATTGAATTTTCGCCACTAAACATTTTAAACTGACATCAAGATGATATGAAAACGTAGGAATTTTCAAATACTCTTAAAAAAGATGCAGCGTCACCTGTACAATTCATCTGTCACGTTAGCCTATTTTGTTACCGCTGAGAAACGAAATTCATCTGGATCTACAATGCGCAATCGAAGTTCCCAACCTAAATTTGGTGATTATTGGGACAATTGACTCTTCCTCCCACTCACCACGACAATAAAAAGAAAAAAATTAAAAGAAAAATGAGGAAGAAAGCCCTAATTAACTTTCTCTTTCTAAAATAAACCATCGTCTTCCCCAAATCTACCCTTCGATTCAAATTTATTCCCCTGTATATCCCCCATGCATTCCACCTGAACCCTATATAAGAAATTCCCCAATTCAATTTATACCAGAAATGTCAAATACACTGGAAAAAAGCCCGAACCAGCTAATCTCGCCGACGAGTTCACTTTCTGTAACCGAGACGGTAAACGGGTCGCACCATTTCTTAATCCAGGGGTACTCTCTGGCGAAAGGCATGGGCATCGGAAAACACATAGCCAGCGATTATTTCTCCGTCGGAGGTTACCAGTGGGCAATTTACTTTTACCCCGACGGTAAAAATCATGAGGATAATTCCACTTATGTGTCGGTTTTTATTGCGCTGGCGAGCGAGGGCACGGACGTGAGGGCGTTGTTCGAGTTGACCTTGGTTGATCAGAGTGGGAAAGGGAAGCACAAGGCGCACAGCCATTTTGATAGGTCGCTTGAGAGCGGGCCTTATACTCTTAAATACCGAGGCAGTATGTGGTAAGATTTTTCCCTTTCTAGCTCATTTTTGTGAATTTTTTATTTTTGACCGGTTTGATGCTTGAGTTTGTTTTAGGTGTGTGTGAATTTGATCTTGATATATTGGCTGTACTTGATTATTTCATGCTTCTGCAAATTCATTCACAATATATTCACAGGAGGAGAATTCTTGATTAAACCTGTTTCATGGTTCCGGTATAGCTTATGTTTGAATCCCACGTCAGAAGTATGTGCTTCCTTTGTGTGGTTTATGCCGACTCGGGCTCTCCAATTTCAATGCTAACTTTTGAGATGTGACTTTCCCAAGTTCTGTGACATTGGTATTAGAACAGGCATCATGTCTCAAGACCTCGGTTGGTGTATGGGCGCTTGCCTCGCGTGGGCGCAGGGGTCGGAAGCACTGTAGTTTGTCATGGTTCCGGTGGAATTTATGGGGTTTGAATCCCACATTGGAAGTATGGGCTTACTTTGTATGTTTTATATAGATTTAGGCTGTTCAACTTTAACGGCTAGCTTTTGAGGTGTCTCTCTTCCAAGTTCTATGACAATCTGCTTTAGAATATACCATTCTTTAGCTCCGTTTGGCAAAATTTATATATCATCTGCACCAGCCGACAAGTAATATCAACCAGTCATTTCTACCTATTTATAAATTCTTCCCAAAACATAGGCTTAATGAATTTAGATTATGAAAATCACATCAATATTTAAAAAAATTACTAGTATAGGAGCAATTTATTTGATCTTGAGTTCACCATTTTATTTCTGTATCTCATGGTTATACTTCGTCTTTTCTTCAAATTCTTGAAATTCTTATCGGATGTTAAGCAAATTGACTATATGATTTTTATCAAGAACTCTAGTATCTTGTTGAACATTGAGTGGTTATTGGCCATATTTGTGTTATTTTTCTGTTGTATTTGAAATGGCAACAGAATTCCATTTAATTTAGCTCAAGAATTGTATGTTTTATTAACATTTGTGTATATCTTTGTCGAATCTTGATGTGTAAATTATAATTGTTAGATTTTTTTATCTTTGAAATTCCCATTATGGTTTTTTTATACAGCTTGGGTAAGCAAAAATAAATTAGGTTTATAGCTTGGTTCTCGAATGCTTCGACAAAATAATCAAAATCTTTCTGATGTATATGGGGAAGAATCTGATGTACCATGGTTTGGAAGACAAAAATATAATTGTTTTGAGCGAACATATAGATTGTAGGATATAGATTTAATAGGACCTACAAGGCGTAATTGTTGCATAAAGGAGCAATTAGAGGAAAGTTTGGCAAAAATGATTGGGTTTGGTTATATGTTTGTTCTTTTTATCATGTCATACGCAACTAGTTCACGCTGAGTAATTTAAGTAGTTTCCATTAACCGTCTTTGTTAACATTGTACTTTTATTTATTATTTTGTCAATTTTTATATATGGGTAGTCTTATCATGTGAAGTTGATTATTTAATCATTTGATGTGTAGATATTATAATACAGGGTGTATTCCAATTTAAATATTGTTTTTATTGAAATTACAAAAAAATAATTCTATGACTAACATCTGTTAGTCTACGTGAAAGGGTTTAAAGTACCCGGGCCTATTTTAATACGTACTTATTTCCTCCATGAATAAATCTTCAGAAACCTATAACCCATTCGTCACTTCTTTTCATTTCTTCAGCTCATATTAATATATTTTTCTTCTCTTTGATTCTTCACCGATTCTTCCTCCACCACACAAATTTATGTATCTCTACTCAAATGCCCTAAAAATCTGTTGAAGAATCCATACTCTATGTTTCTTTGCCATTTCCTCTTTATTAGTACCGATATAGTGATGGGAACCCAACAATTTCTCCCAAAAGCCCAGGTTTGAGGTTGATTGAATCTCACAACTATTAGACCCGAACAATACCCCACGGCCCCAAATCCGACGTCCACGGCGGCTCACTCCAAGACGACCTTCGCTTTACCCGGCTGGCCCTTCTATAGCTGCTGGTATTCAGCACTTCGCTTTGGTTGCCTCTTCCGGTATTCGAACTTGTGACGTGGGTCTATTCTGATATCAGTTGATGGAAACCCAATCATCTCTCCCAAAAGCTCAGGCTTGAGGGTGATTGAATCTCATAATTATTAGACCTTAACATATAGTTCTAAACAACGAACGAGAAACATGATCAAAATCAACAAATCAAAATTTTGAATTTTATAAATAAGAATTTCCCCAAATATGCACTCAAGCTGAATCTTCAGTTCTCTTTTTTCTTTCTTGTTTACGTCTCCTATAGAAAGAAAATTTCAAAACTTCGAATTAGAGATCTAAGTGTTCTAGACTTTTATGAACTCCAGTAATTGTTAATTCTCAATAACAGCAAGATAATCATGTGTTTTAGTAAAAAACACACAGTGGTAGAGAAGAGGCCAAAAACTGTTTTTCTTTTTCTGGGTTAAGTGGTTGTAAACAACACAAATTATTTAATCTTGTTACCACTAATTATAAATTTTTTCAGTTCTAGAAGCAAAATGAGAAATTTTGTTTTTATTTTACAATTTTGCAACTAGGGGTATACGGGTCTTTCTGGATCATTTAAAATGGTAGAAATATTTAAAAATAAAAAATAAAAATAACTCTTTTAACGGATTTTTAAAGGTAGTATGCTTTTTGTTACCATTTCTGAAAAATGAGTATAAGACATTAAGACATGTAAATCGTAAATACACATGTTGGGGGTATATTTGTAAATTTCATTATATTTAACTTGATTTTCTTGCTGCAGTATGAGAAAATTGTGATTTTCTTTTTCTTGGAGCAGAGATGCCCTTCAACAAGTACAAAAGTCATTTTACCATTCGCTGCAAGTAAAATTGTGGTATATAGTCTCATTGATGGCATCTTCTCGACTCCAAGAAGCTAGGCTTAGATGTGATCGTGTGTAGGAGTTCAGGGTTTAAGGTGCTTGAACAAGAAAGAAAAGTTGTTTGTCTTCAACTTTAATACATTTATCCTCTATTCGTATATTGAATGCTTCAGCATCAATTATTCTTTAATCCTTCTGCAAACTTCAAGTTTCCAATTTATGTTATTACAGGGGATACAAGCGGTTTTTCAGGCGAGCTCTACTAGAAAATTCGGATTTTATAAAAGATGATTGCTTGAAGATCAACTGTACTGTTGGAGTTGTAGTCTCTGCTATAGATTGTTCAAGGTTACATTCGATTCAAGTCCCTGATTCTGATATTGGAGCACATTTTGGCATGCTGCTGGAAAACATGGAGGGTTCTGATATTATTTTTAACGTGTCTGGTGAGAAATTTCATGCCCATAAGTTAGTATTGGCTGCCAGATCCCCCATACTTCGATCTGAATTTTTTGAAGAATTAGATGAGGATAAGCAAGAGATTACTGTTTCAGATATGGAGCCTAAGGTTTTTAAGGTGAGTGGTTTACATATTTTTGTTCTACTTCTAGTTTACAAAAACTTAACTTTTCTCTCTTAGACTGGTTATTTCCTTTTTCATTAATTTTTATTATTAGCTATTTTATCGTTTCAGATTTATAAAATCGATAATCTTGTTCAATTTTATGGATGGAATAGTATACTAAAAGTCGCTTGATGTATAACAGGCTATGCTGCACTTTGTATACAGAGATGCCCTCGTGGAAGACGAGCTGATGGCATCTAGCTCTTCTTCTGCTCCCATGGTATCTGACACGTTAATAGCGAAGTTGCTGGCTGCAGCTGATCGTTATGATCTGGCAAGACTTAGACGCATGTGTGAATCTCATCTCTGCAAGGATATATCCGTAAATTCTGTTGCACAGATACTTTCTTTGGCAGACCGTTATCATGCTGAAGAACTAAAAGCTGTATGCCTTAGATTTGCTGCTGAAAACCTTGCTGGTACAATATCAACCAGTTTGTGGTGTTTACATATATTTATTAACGGCTTTCTGCTACAATGACACACACTTATCTTGTTTTATGAATAAATATACATTCTGCATTAGTAGTCATATTTTTCCATATTACAATTACTAGTACAATTATTCAGCCCTAGTAAGAATGTTTTTGAGACATCAATGGCCAATACCAGTTTTCTACCAGTCGTTGACACTATTTAGCAGTTTTTAGCATTTACTTTATTTCATATTTTTATTAACTGTCTGCCATAAAGACTTATCTTGTTTTACCAATAAATTGATATTCTGCATTAATAGTCATCTTTCTCCATATTACAATTACTAGTAAGAATGCTTTTACAACATTTATTGCTGATGTTAGTTTTCTTCCAGTCATTGACGGTTTCATGTCAAAAGGTTGAGATGGAAAATTTTCCTTGTTAATGTGCCCTCTAAAGCTTGCTTATACATTTTGTGTCCAAAAACTAGCGCAGTACACTGGTTGTTGGACAGTACATACACACACAGCTTTTTCTTGCTTTATGAGAATGAAAGCCAGCATTTATTTCTTGCTTTATGAGAATGACAATGAGCATTAATTTAATACATTTATTTGTTATCTATATGAACCTTCTTTACCGGTTAGAAGGTTTACATATTTATTTGAACATGGTCATCATCTCCATTAATTGTGATTATGTAGAACGATGAAGCTGGGCTACTTCAAAAATGGGTATGGTTAGTGCCTGTTTGATGTTGATTTTTATTATAATAGATTTTGTAAAAAGTGAGTGTTTTTGGAGAATATGTAGTTAATAAGTATGGATAAGTTACGAGTCAACGTGCAAAATTATCTTTATTGGAAGAATGTGTGGTTAAATATGAGTGTGGGAAAAAATGAATTTCAAAGAATCTCTACCAAACAGGAGCTTATTACTAAACGGAAGAAATTTCTGAGAACTTAATTGAGATCCCCAATGCCATAATATTTATATTGCTTTACTCTAACTAGTATGAAGAGTTCTTTCTCTTACTTCTTTTAATTGGATGATTTTGCTTTTGTTCATTTTACTTTGTTAATGGATATGTTCTTATTTTTATTGCAGCGGTCATGCGTTCAGATGGCTTTGAATATCTTAAAGAAAATTGCCCGGCCTTACAATCAGAGATATTGAAGACTGTGGCTGGCTGTGATGACGATTGCAGTAGTAGCGGTGGCAAGTCTCGAAGTGTTTGGGCCCAGCTTTCTGACGGTGGTGATACAAATGGCAGGAGGGTAAGACAACGGACTTGATTTTGGTTTTAGTATACCCCCTGTATAATGAAGATCGCGTCTTCATAATCTGTAAAAATATGTAACAGAAAGGAAAATGTTTCGTAATTCTGAAATTTCATTGCTGATAGCAGTAAATTGAAACAATTGTGATATGTTAGGTTTGTTACTGTGGTTTGAGGTTAAGATGTGTCCTAGTGGGGTGAATTATATCTGGATTTGATCCCAGATAACATTGTACGTCCTCGTGACAATTTCTGCTATCGGGTTGTGTAACTGTCATTTTAACGAAGGATAGTTTCTCTGTTGGATCTCACGTTCAGCATAAGATTTGTTGAGAAAAATGGATGGGTCATACATATTTTGCACTGCAATTCATCAATTTTCGTTCTGTAATGTGATTTAAACCCTACTTTTGCTTCTTTTTACTGTGATCAAATTGCATTCATGAAAATGCAGTAGTAGACCTGAATCTTACATTGATGAAATTTCATGTACGTGTGATGTAAATATAATCTTCCATTGCTGCCGAATCTTTTGCACTAGTTTTTATCTGTAAGAATACAGGACTGCGTTTTCAGTTTTTCTGAGCCACATGCTCCCACAATCGAACCTGATAGAGTTCGGTTGTCAAAGTGGCTGGACCATGGCACCCGGCACATCATGGATGAGACCATGTGTTTTTAGGTGCCGGGCCACCTATGCCATGTTTTTCACTGGGGATGTTTTGGTAGATTTTAACACTCTTGAAACAAAGGCACTGCAGGTGTTGTTAAAGGATTGTTGGTATGAAAGAGACGAGGTGCTGCATTGGGGGATGGGTTCGCGTTGGAGGTCATTGATGAGATAGCAGATAGATGTGCAAGAGAGGTGAGTGAGGGTGAGGTGAGTCGAGGGGATTTGGAGGCCACTAGAGCTATGCAGTGCAAGCTGAATATTGATGTCGATGTGAAGAAGGGAGATGGCTTTGTCCCAATCCTCTACTTGCATGATCGTCTAACCAACTTACACAGCTGTTTGCAGTGCCTATTATGAGGGAATCTAGGACTAGGTATAAGGATTTTGGAATGTAAAAAAATATGTATGAAAGATCGAGGAACAAAAGAAAGAAACAAAATAGCGGAAAGGTCTTGTGAAGCTATTGATTTTTTATTCTTATTTTTTCTGTAAACAGGTGACTACCTTATTTATATAAGATAAACCCATTTAGTATTTTCAATGGATGATATCGAATTGCATCAATCATTTTTCACAACTATGTACGGTTCATCATTACTAGATTTACTGAAACAAACAATTAGCATGAACCATGTTAATTCTAGTCCCCTCATCCCTCTTCTAGTATTGAGGTCAATGCCCTGTCATTCTTATGAATTGAGACCTTCTTAAGATTGTAAAAAATATGTCTCAACCATCTTCAATTTCTAATGGAAAATTTGTATTCAAGGTCCCAAACCTTTCAAAAATGTATATGACTATCCCAAACTTTTAAATCATACCAAATACATCACAAATCTTCAAAAAAATATGTGGTAGGAGAAACATTCCAAAAATTCTCTAATTGATCAAAAGTCAAACATTTGACCAAAATTTGAATATCTTTAAAAAGGGTAAAAGTGAGTCTACATTTTCCAACTCATATAAAAAAGGGGAAAAAAAATTTCACTGTCCTCACTAGATCGCAGATAAAAATCATGAGATGGACATATATTAGTCGTGATCAATCTTTTATTATCAAAACTAAAGTTATATTAAACGAAACCTGTGACAAATAGTAATAGAAATCAAATAATTTGTAATAAACATAAACACATATTAAATTAAATTAAAAATAAAAAATGATAAAATATATCTGTATTCAAAATTATAATATAACAGCCCTTCGGTTGTCCCATGTTATTGGTCAGGTCTGATAATTATGGTTTTACTATTAGTCAAAAACGAGAATTATAGCTTGTAATTCTAAAAAATATAGAGGAGCCCAAAGAAATTATAACAAAAAGTGGGGTGCTTAGTGTAATATACATATGAAATAGGCTGGGCAAACCCGATCCGCCACAGGAATCTAGATAACCCGTCTTCTTCCATTTTCGGACTCCACAAAAAAGAGAAATTTGTTCAAGAATTTCTGTCATAAATCGATTCTTTCCCTCGAATCAGTGTCCCTGATAGCGAAGCAATCGCAGCTTCGTTTCTGAGGTATAAAAATTCGGTTTTATACGATAACTCGAGGTTTATTAGATTTTATTTTAGTTTTTTTTATTGACTTTAGGAACTTTTATTGTTTTTTTCCTTTTGATTTGTCTTTGAATTCCACAAAAATAAGCGTTATTTTCATATTATTCAGCTTATCCAAAATTTCAATTTTATTTTTCATTTTAAGGGCATTATTTTTTGTTTTCTTTGCATTTTTCTGCAGCTAGGTTTTGACATCTAGGCTAAATTTCTGCTCTTTTAGGGTTTGGTTGAGTTGGGGGATTTATTTTTGAAATTTTCTATTATTTTTCTTTGAGCTTTCAAAAAAATTTATTGGGTACGTTACAGGAATTTGATCAAATCTAGTGGACTTCGTGTTTTGAAGGTTGCATTTTTCACTTAGATAGATAAGTATTTTTATGGCATTTGAATGCCACCAGACTGTAAGAATTGGCTCAAAGGACACCTCAATAGATTGCTTAGATAATCCGCCCGCAGAAGAAGTTGACAAACGTCAAGTTATATCAACTAACAATATCAAGAATTTTACTTCTGAGTCTGACAATCCAAAATACACATCTATATTAAATGCCAATACACCTTCTGTCAATGAAAGTTTACCTAATTATATTCGGTCCATCACTGACCTTCCCCCGGCATTGATATCTGAAATCCTCAACTGCCTTGATCCAAAAGAGCTGGGCATTGTGTCCTGTGTCAACACTTATTTGTATAGGCTGGCGTCCGAACACCATGTGTGGAAGGAGTTTTACTGTGAGAGGTGGGGCCATCCAATAACGCTGGCCAATTTTGGGCCAGGGAATTCGGACGAGAGATCATGGAAGGAGCTGTTTGTGGATAGGGATTTCCATAGCAAGACTTTTATGGGTCGTTTTAGTATTGATACTCTGTATGGGCATACTGAAGCAATTAGGGCAGTTTTTGTATTGGCTTCTAAGAAGATTGTTTTTACTTCGGGTTATGATCAGATTGTGAGAATGTGGGACATGGAGGAAGGGTTGTCAATCGCATCATCTAGGCCTCTTGGGTGTACGATTCGTGCATTGGCAGCCGATACAAAGGTTTTGGTTGCTGGGGGTACAGATGGGTTCATACATGGTTGGAAGGCAGACGATGGGAATGCTCACTTATTTGATCTCTGTGCACCAAAAAATCAGAATATGGAATTTCGGGTTTGGGAACATGAAGGCCCCATAACTTGTCTTGCATTGGATTTTGGTAAGATTTACAGTGGTTCTTGGGACATGACTATATGTATTTGGGATCGTTCTTCTTTGAAATGTTTGAAGGTGTTGGTGCATAATGATTGGGTTTGGAGCCTCGTACCTCATGACACTATACTAATGAGTGCAGCAGGTTCTGATGTACACCTTTGGGACATTAATAGTGGAACTCCTCTAGCCATTATCAATAATGCACACGTTGGCAATGCATATTCTTTGGCATGTAGTCATACTGGGAAGCTCATATTTACTGGAGGAGAAGATGGTTCTATACACATGTTTGAGATCATAAGAAATGCTAAGTGTAGTGTGCGAAAGATTGCAACATGGCTTCCTCACACAGGATCTGTTTATTCTCTTGCTTTTGAATTCCCTTGGCTTGTTTCAGCTTCCAGTGATGGGAAAATATCACTTATTGATGTGAGAAAATTGTTGAAAAAGACAAGCAAGCACTCTTCAATTGAAAATCCTTTTAAGGGCAACCACATGGACAAAAAACATGTAGAACCTCCTCAAAGAATGCTCCATGGGTTTGGCTGCAATTTGTTCTCGGTTGGCATTGGCTGTGATCGTATTGTTGGTGGAGGTGAAGAGGGTGTTGTAAGGATCTGGAACTTCTCCCAAGCTCTGGAGATTGAGCAGAGAGTCCGCACTTTGAGAGGCATAAGGCTAGAAAACAGGATGAGGAGACGTAAGCTCCAAGCAGAGATAAGTTGTAAAGGTCGCAGCAGTGAGCAATGTTTAGTTGCTGCAAAGAAGAACCAAACAAATGGCGATAGGAATGGGTGGCATTATAAGCACAAGGTAACTGGAAAGCTGAAGGGTCAAAGTTAGGTTATAGTTTCTGATTATTTTTGTGCTCTGTAGTTCTAAAGTCTATGGCTAGACATGGATCGAATTACAGTCTAATTGACTTTTGTTGCTGTTGTCATTTAGATTTTAATCAAATATTTGATCCCTTTATAAAATTTGGTTATGGTTACTATCGCAAAGGAAATTTCCTCTTGACAAACACAGTCGCATCTCCTGAGTTGAGTGATTGGCTGATAGGGAATGACGTGGGACTTGACAATTCATTTTGATCCCTTTCTTTCTGATAATGTAATATTTGCTTGGCTCTTTCTTTTTCTTTTAACTGATTGTGAATAGAACGTATTGGATATCATGACCTGTGACTGGAAAAATTTGGGTACCTGTACTTTGTTTGCTTGGTTAATTTTGATGTACAAATGTAAGCAGTTAAGTCTTATGACATTCTTTATTAGATTATTCATTTGTTATACAAGAAGATGTGGTAATAAAATTGAAGGCTCTTTGTTGTGTATTTTCATTATTTATTTCTGGTTCCTTTTTTTGCATACTGTGCCTCACTTGTGTATGTATTGACAGTTTGTTTTTCCAGTCGTTTTTCTGCATTTGTAACATGAATGTTTGGAATCAGAGACATTGTATAGGGAATTAGATAGAGCTCGGATTTCTAGCTTATTCTAGTTTTGGTAAGTGCTGATAGAAATAGTGTTCAAGCACCATACCAACCATGGATGGTCTGGCTGGTGGCTCGACCAATTGGGAGGCGAAAAATTTCGTTGAACCATAAAAGTATCAAATATTTGGCTTTTTATTTCAGCAGACAATCTCTGCAAATCATGAAACTACTTGTAAAGACAAAATTCGTGAACTTTGTAAATTCAACAAAGCCATATCTAAGCTGAACATGTTTTGTTACAAAGCAAATGTGTATTCGGTGATAAAACAAGGCCCTAAGTTAGGACACCTAGTGGCTAGTAGTAAGTCATTCATGCAAGTATTATGAACATATATAAAGACGTTTTGTTGTGGGAGAATAAAGTTATCTATTTAAAACTTTACGTTATTAAACACAACGGTCTCTAAAATTCATTTTTTGATCAAAAGTCGATAACGGCCAAAACTTAAATCCTATATTCAACGAGTCATTTTTGAGTGGACAAGATTTAATATATTAAAAAAAAAAAAAGTCCCCGTATATCTTCAATTTTTATAAATAGATGACGTGAATCCAATTCTTTTTCATGATTCTAATACTGTACCATCTGAAAATTATTGTATTCATTTAAATCTAGTCGTCAACTCAAAAGAGCAATGCCACTTCTTTTTCGAAGAAACTCTAGATTCTTTATAAATGTCGATCTACAGTTGCAAGGACCTAAAAGGCCTAAAACAACTTAAAACCTGCGTTGCTGTATGGGTTCCTCTATACACGCTGTCAAAATTTGAACATCCAAACCAAAACCCAGTAGATATATCATATATTTTTATATTTTAGTTACTGTTATCTGGTCTAAACCTTCAAGAAGAAACAAAACAAGCTCACAAAGTGATCTAGAAAGTCTTGAATCCAGAACAAATTGAACAAGATTCAGGCCTAACCCTTTGTTTGCGAGTTACAGAACGCACCATAAGCCCCTGTTTGTCATGTTTTACTTTACATTCTTTTCCATTATTTTTTCTATACTATTTATTTTTAATGACATTCTTCATTAAAATAATATTACACGCAAATAAAAATAAATTCTTCTTTTTTAACCACACATTCTCTATCAATCACTATTCCATAATACATTTCTTCAAATTAATGGGACCCAAACAGGGCCTAAATTGTGAGTAGAGGATCAGTTCATGCTATATGTTTTGTGATATTTTTGGCAAACAATGTAGAACACGGGCATATTGATACCCTGGAAAAGGGATTTTCAAATGAACCATCAGTGAAGGCCATCTATGTATTGGGGGGACTCTTCTGTTGATTGTGGAGGCAATACTCCATTCTCCAATCTCTTACGCCACTGACTCTCCTTGTATCCATGCAGTGGCTCTGATTCAAGTCTTGTTTCTCATCTTCTTGGTACTCTCTCAGCCCACTCAAAACACACACAGGGTTGTAGACAGGGTTGAATATGGAATTTCTTGATATTTGTCTGGTATCCGTTGAAAAGGGTTGCTACATTTTCGAACGTCCAACTAATTTTTTGGTCCAGTAAGCTGCCTTTTCTGAGCCCAATTGCCCGGTCCAATTAACTGATTTTGACCCAATAAATGGATGGTTTTGGAATTTGGCAAAACGTGTTTTTCATTTGATGTATATACACGCCCTCGATAGATAATTGACACTTTGAATGTTGTGCGCTGTTGGATTTGACTTTTGGGCTTATCTCATATAAAAGGGACTTTGCATTCATTAGGGTTTTATGTGATTCAAGAGTCAAGTTTGAAAAAGACAAGTGTGGAGTGAGATCCGTTGAAAATCGAAGGTGGATCAATGACGCGATCGAGGACAAAGCAAGTAAAACAAGCGATGAGGTTGCTAGTTCAATCAACTATGGATGGGACAATGTTTGGAACGCAAAATGAGGCAACCTTCATGTTCGGGTCAGGAGCCGAACCCAAATGAATCAATTTAATACAAGCAGAAGAAATAAATTGACACCACATAATTATTTTCCGGGGGAAATTGTTTCCTTGTTTGAAATTTTCCATATTTTATTAGAGTTTTGGTTATGGTAAAAAATTTTTAATCTTTAATTCCATTTTAAGTTAGGATTAGAGTTTTATTCCTATTAGAATTAGTTTCTAGATTTTCATTATAATTTTATTCCTATTAGAATTTGTTTCTAGATTTTCTACATATAAATAGATTTAATTTTTTTTTTGTAAAACTTTACACATAATATTATTTTGAGAGAATTCAATAAAGAGAGACAGTTTGCTTTCTTCATATCGTTCTTCATTGAACAATTGGAACTTATCAAGAGTTATAATCTTCTGGCGTTCTACAATCCGGTTGGGGGTCTTATCTTTCAAGCTTTGATCTTGTTGGATTTTTTGGTTCATTGATTTGGATTCAAACTCTCAAACCTCTTAATTGACTTTTCTAGGATTCTAGCTATCAAATTATGTGTTTCGTAGTTAACGTTACTACGGGGTTCGCATCAGTTGGTATTAGAGCACAGATTCCAATTTAACAGGTTACATCCTTAGTGTTTCCTTTTTTTTTTTTTTGAGTCTTTGTTCTTTGTTTTTCCCCCATTTTTTTTAGTTTCCATTCTTGTATTATTCGTTTCTTCGTTGTTCGAGTCTTCAATTCATCAAATTATTGTCAAATTTTGTCAAAACTGTTTTGGGGCTATTCTAGCATCCAAACTGATCTTGTTTAATTTTTTGGTAGTTTAAATCATTATTTTTTTTGTTCAAAAAAAAAAAGTACTGTTCACGTCCAGTTAAGAAAAAAAAGTCGATTTTTTTTTCTTTTTAAATATTTGGTACTGTTCTGGAAAGAAAAAATATGTTTTTTTTTTTTATATATTATCGTTCAATTTACTACCAACAATCTTTATTTTATTGAGTCACACTAGTTTCTTTCATTCAATTAAAGTCCGGGTTTATTCCATCAAAAAATCTTCAAGTCCTTTTGTTTTATCATCTTTGGTTCACATTCGGTTAGGAATTCCACGGGTTTAAAAATTCTTCGAGTTCACTTTGTTCTTTGAAGCGCTTGGGAGAAAGCATTGAGTGGTAAAAGGTGGAGTTGTGACATTAATAGAAGGAAAAAGTCATATTGTGTGATTTTCGAGTGAATTTCAGTGAGACAAATAAAATTCTAGTTTTAGGATGTCTGAACGAGGAGAAAATCGTGTGTGGGGCGGGCATACCATCCCATATGGTATGCCTACCCCATCATGAATTGACATGTGTACAAACTTTGTTAATTGTGCATTTTTTAATTGAAAAGTACACTGGCTCCAATCTCTTTTTCTTTCCCGCTTTTTCCATTCTCTCCTTAAAAGTTGGACTCACCTTCTAATAAACACTCTCTCTCTCTCTTCAAAGTTTTGTTGGAAGCCGGAAGCACTTTCTGGGCAATTTATAATCCAACAAAAATCAAAAGTATTCTTTAATTTTTTAATTTCGTTTCTCTAAAATTTTTAAGTATTTATATTATATAAATGGGAAAGTGAAAACATCTTTTATTGTATTTATTTTGTGGAAGGTTGAATGGGTTTTTAATATTTTTAACAAAGCCATTTGTTGCTTCTAATTTTTGAAACGGGGCAGAATCATTGGGACCGCTTGCGCTACATGGGATGTTACTATTTAATTTGTTAATTTCATTTCTCTGAATTTTTAAGTATTTACATTATAAAATGGGAAAGTGAAATCATCTTTTGTTGTATTTATTTTGTTGATATTAATAAGGGTTGAATGGGTTTTTAATATGTTAATATTTTTAATTAGGTTTTCTATTGAATGGAGGATTTAAGTTGTAGAGAAAAAATTTGTGAAGAACTCAATGTGGGAATGGGAGTATGTTCTGATGAAGAAGCTTATAATATATGTAATACATATGCTCTAAGAAAAGGTTTTAGTATCTGTAAAGGCCATATTCGAAAAGATGCATCAAAAAATATTAAACAGCGAGAATTTTTATGTTCAAAGGAAGGGTTTCAAAGGGACGAAGATTTGTTTGAAGTGAAGAAGTATAATAGATTAGAGACAAGAATGGGCTGCAAATTTATGGTGCGTTTTACAGTGGATGGTGGAATATGGAAAATTTCTCATATTAATACTCATCATAAACATGAACTTGCAAGACCAGAACAAAGACAATTTCTCAGATTAGGACGTAGGGTGTCTAATGCTCAAGCAAATGTCATTAATTCCATGGTTAATGCAGGTATAGGACCAACAAAAACATACTTTTATTTAGCAAATGAGGTTGGTGGAGCTGAAAACATTGGATTTACCAAAAAGGACATGAGAAATTATTTGCAAAGAATAAAAGGTGAAATGATTGAAGCGAGGGATGGACAAACTTTGCTAAACCATTTTAAGTTAAAGCAAAGTGAGGATCCTAACTTTTTCTACTCAATGCAAGTGGATCAATTTAATCGGATGACAAATTTTTTTTTGGAGAGATAGTAAGTCAAAGTTAGATTATGATTGCTCGGTGATGTTGTATGTTTTGATACTACTTTTCGTACTAATAAGTACAATTTAAGATGTGCTACATTTGTTGGAGTTAACCATCATTGGAAAAATGTTTTATTCGGTCATGCAGTTTTATTAGATGAGACCACGGAATCATTTATTTGGTGGTTCGAGTCATTTAAGGAGTCCATGGGAAATGGACAACCGAAAACTATTTTTACAGATGAGGACAAAGCAATTGCAAATGCAATTGAAGTAGTTTTTCCACATACGCAACATCGATTGTGCACTTGGCATATTGCTAAGAATGCTACACATCATCTTAGTAGCTATTGTGCAAATCCAGAGAGTTCAAAAGGCAGTTTGATAAATGTTTCCATGGGTGTTATAGTGAAGAAGAATTTCAAGTTTCTTGGGATGATATGATTAAAAGATTTGACCTCAAGAGTCACTCATGGCTAAAGAAATTGTATTCACTGCGAGGAAAGTGGTGTCGTGCTTTTAATTTGGATACATTTTCAGCAAATATGAAGTCCACCCAAAGGAATGAGAGCACAAATAATATCTTTCATCAAATTTCTACCAAGACAATGGACCTTGTTATTTTTGTATACCACTATGAGAAGAAAATAAAGGAAATGTGCTTGGTTGAATTAGAAGATGATTATCGATGCAAACATGGTGTTCATCGTCTGTCCATAAGGTGTGGTATTTTAAGTCATGCAGTTAATGTATATACCCCAAAAATGTTTAGTCTTTTTGAAAAAGGAGCTAACGGGTTGCATTGGAGTGAGGATGAAAGAAGTGTGTAGAGATTATAAACTTTACGCATATGAAGCAGTTGAAGAAGGTCAACAAAGAGTGCACAAACTCCAATACAATCCCCTTACATTCGATGTTTTTTGTTCATGTAAGTTATTTCAATCATTAGGGATTTAATGCCTACATGCTTTAATGGTGTTCGATTTGAATAATCTCACTAGCATACCAACACAATTCATAATGAAAGGGTGGACTAAAGAGGCAAAGAAAAGAATTGCCGCAAGTAATGACAAAAGTGACCTGTCAATAATGGCAAATGATGAGAAATCTTCCAAGTCATTACGCCTTAGTGAGTTGATGCACAAAGGAAATAATGTGTATAATGTTACCTCAATGACAATTTCGAGAACAAAGATTGTCAAAGAAAAGTTGCGGAAGCAATGAAGTTACTTGAAAAGTATGAAGAAACTATCAACGTGCTTCAAAAGTTTAGAAAAGACGATGCTCATTTCACTTGTGATGCTCTTGTGGATGAGCCAAGAATATTAAATCCACCAACTGTGAAAGCCAAATAAATAACAAATGCAAAATTAAAAAGCACTTTGGAGAAAAGAAAAAGGAAGGCAAAGAAAGGTAATAAATATGATAATTTTATTTTTTATTACAATTATTGCCCTTATTCAATTCTTAAGTAATATATGATTTTTTTTTTAATTTTTGGTCACTTATGATGATTACATTTGGCTTATAGTTGCCGAAGACAATCATCCAAAAAAGGGTGAGACACCTTACCCAACATTTTCGCCTACATTGACAGCTTTTACCCCGTTTATTCATCACTTAGCTCTCGGGCATTGAAATTTTCACCTTTCAAGCATGCTTCAAAGCCACAACAATATGCATTACTTGACTAAGGTGATATTATTATTATTATTATTATTATTATTATTATTATTATTATTATTATTAGTCAATGAATCATTTTTATGTAGGATCCAAGTTATTAGAATTTTGATGATCTACAGAGAACGATTAGTGATTGCATAGTGAAAGTTTAGATATGAGACCGATATGAGCTTTATTAAATAGAATGCATTTGATGAAGTTATCAGTTTTGTGCTAATGAAGTTGATTAGTAAATTTTATTTATTTGTTTGTTTACACTTTTTAGGTGATTGAAGTATGATATTTTGTAGTTGAAGTTATTGTAGGGGATAAAAAGGGTTTATGGTGTAATTATTTTGCTAAATTTCCACACATAAACAATTGAGATGGATTATGATGATTTTAGACAATATTAAATATTGTCTTCTTTAATGAAAGTGTTTTTGCTTTGATATTATTGTATTTTAAAAGTATTATTACTAGTTTGTTATTTGTTAAGAACTGATGCAATATATGTTCTAATTTGGCTTGAAATTATATTTAAGATAACTTCTTTGCCTCTTCATTTTAAAAAGGCATTTCTCGTCACTTTTAAAAAAAATAAAATAAAAAAGGAAAAATATTTAAAAACAAAAGAATGTAGAACAAAAAACTAATACAAAAGGAGAGAGAAAGAGTGAGACACAAAAGAAAGAGAGAGTGAAAGACACGGTAGTGGGAAAGGAAAAGAGGTTGGAGCTAGCATACTTTTCAATTAAAAAATGCACAATTAACAAAGTTTGTACATGTATCAATTCATGATGGGGTGGGCATACCACATGGGATGGTATGCTCGCCCCACATAAAATTTTCTCCTAAACGAGAAGATTCCAATTCAAGCCGACACGGCAATCATAACATGCAACGGATGATTTGATACAGCGATTTGAAAGTGCGTTTGGATCAGTAGGAAGCTTGGATGATTAGGTTGGATACATCGATGGCTAATTTTAGTAGGGGACAACCAGTAGAGGTGTCGAATGCTAGGGGACCGGGTAGGCGAGAACCTAAGAGGGTAAGGCTTGAAGAATATGATAGTGATTTGAATGAGTACGAGGCTAATGATGTTGATTTGGGGAGGATGAGGAATAGAGGCGATAGGTTCGAAAGACGGGGTAAGAATAATAATGGAGATGAGATGGATGGAAACATGGGTAATATCAAAATGACCATTCCACAATTTAAAGGGAGAAGTGACCCAGAGATGTACCTAGAGTAGGAAAGAAAGTTTGAATTGATTTATGAATGTTATAACTACTCGGAAGAGAAGAAAGTGAAGTTAGCGGTTCTAGAGTTCATTGATTATGCAATAACTTGGTGGGATCAAGTGGTTACTTCACAACGTAGGTGTAGGGGAAGACTGGTTAGTACTTGGGAGGAGTTGAAGACATTGATGAGAAAACGGTTCGTTCTTAGTCACTATTATAGGGAGATCCATCAAAAATTGCAAAGCTTGTATCAAGGGTCGAAGAGCATGGAGGATTACCACAAGGAGATGGAGATACTTATGATTAGGTCAAATGTGGTTGAGGATCGAGAAGCTACCATGGCACGGTTCTTGAATGGTTTAAATAGGAAAATTGCTAATGTAGTGAAGTTGCAGCATTATGTGGAGTTAGAAGATATGTTGCATGTAGCTATGAAGGTGGAGAGACAATTGAAGAGGAAGGGAACAGCTAGGCAACCGTTAGGTACTTCGAGTTCTAATTCATATTGGAAACCGAGGTGGGATAATAATAAGGGTGATAGGGCTGTATCTAAAGGTAGGAATTATTGGCAAAAGGAGAAAGATGAAGGTGCTAGCTAAACAATACCAAAATTAGAGTCACAACCATCAAGGAGTCGAGACATCAAGTGTTTTAGATGCTTGGGATTGGGACAGATCGCTTCGCAATGCCCAAACAAAAGGGCAATGGTGTTGCGAGACAATGGAGAGGTGGTGAGCGAAGATGAAGGTGAATATAACAACATGCCAGCGTTGGAGGAGGTTAGTGAAAAAGAAAAGTTTGAAGGTACTGTGGGGGATCTTTTAGTTGCAAGGCGAGCTCTTACTACTCACATCAAAATGGATGATTCAGAGCTACAATGGGAGAACATCTTCCGCACTTGATGCCATGTCAACGATACGGTATGTAGTGTAATTATTGATGGTGGTAGTTGCACAAATGTTTCTAGCGTAGCACTTGTAGAAAAATTAAATTTAACACTGTTGAGGCACCCTAGGCTATATAAATTGTAATGGTTAAACGAATGTGGAGAAGTTAGGGTTAATCGAAGGGTGTTAATTAATGTCTCAATTGGAAGTTATTGGAATGAGGTAGTGTGTGATCTAGTACCAATGCAAGTGGAACATATTTTGCTGGGGAGACCTTGCCAATATCATAGGAAAGCAATGCATGATGGGTACAAGAATCGCTATAGTTTCGTCAAGGACGGGAAGACCATTACCATTGTGCCATTAACACCAGCGCAAGTATATGAGGACCAAATCAAGTTGAAGAATGAGGAAGAGAAAAGGGTAAAAGAGCTAGAAAAAAGAAGAAAAAACAGTGAGGTAGGGAGTAAGAGAGAAAATGGTAAGGTGGCTACTAAAGAGAAAAATAGAGAGGAGCCACAAGAGAGAAAAGAAAGAGAGTCTTCTGAGAGAAAATAAAAATCGCGAGCGAATTTCTTTGCAAAAGGGAGTGAAGTGAGAAGAGCGATAGTTGAGAGAAAAGAAATGATCTTGTTTTTGTATAAGGAATCACTCCTCAATTTGGAGAAAACTAATCCACCCCTCCCTAGTTTGGCTAAGTCTTTATTGCAGGAATTCGAAGATATGTTTTCGGAGGACATGCCTAGTGGGTTACCACCCATTCAAGGAATTGAACACCAAATTAACTTTATACTTGAAGCTGTCATTCCAAATCGACCAACTTACCGAAGCAATCCTGAGGAGACAAAGGAACTTCAGAGACAGGTAGAGGAGTTGATAAGCAAGGGTTATGTAAAGGAGAGCATGAGTCCATGTGTAGTACCAGTATTGCTTGTGCCAAAGAAAGATGAGTCATGGAGAATGTGTGTGGATTGCAGAGATATTAATAACATAACGGTAAAGTATCATCACCCAATCCCAAAGTTAGATGACACGTTGGATGAATTGAATGGTGCATATATTTTTAGCAAAATTGATCTTAAGAGTGAGTATTGTTACGTGTTGACACACTTGGCCGACCCACTGGGGCCCATGGCCCACTTCTGCTGAACCACGTGGCATCTTATCCGAGGCCCTATCCCAACAGGATTTCACCAGCATATTATAACAACACCAGACGTGGTCCAAGTGCTGTTGTCGAAGCTAATACGCCGAGGAGATCTCGTAACCGAGGCCCTTCTCTCCGAGGTCCTTAGGCTCTAAGTAGCACTGCTCCCCAGAGATTCGGTCTTACACAAAGATCCTTCCTGAGTGATTGATGGGACACCCATCATAGAGTACAAGTGTCTAGTCTTGTCAATGTAGTGGCAGAGCTGCCAATTAATTAATGTGTAGCAGGCTAGGAAATCAAATGTGACACCTATAATATGACATGTAGACTTACGAGATGAGGCCACGTATACTTTCAACTAAGGGCCACGATCTAAGTTGTAATACTATAAAGACTCTCCCATGTATCTCTCAAAGGGTAATGCAAGATTCAATACAAGAACAAATATAACATTCTTTACATTCTACTCTCTTGCAACATACACTAATTCATACA